GGCCATGAATAAAAGATCATTCTGAGTAAAGTAAACCAGAAAAACAAAGGTGCATGTTTTTTCTCACATTTGAATCTTAGAATTAAAACATTAAAGTGTTTGTAAATACATACAATGCCTTACGTGATCACACCTCTTTTTTTCTCACACTCCTACCCAACAGGGCAGGAGGTTTCCCTTCATTAGGCTACTTGATCTTTCTCCTACTGGAGGGCACCCTTCTATTTACCTAAATGATTCCCAATCATGGCACTGGCCTACCTGCCACACCACCAGAGTGCTGGTTGCCTGATCACATCAACCTTTTGCAAGTTTCCCCTTTTTTCCCTTTTGTTATTGTTATTATAAAGATGGTGTACAGAGGGGCTATAGTTACATAGGTCAGGTAATGAGTACATTTCCTTTTGAACATTGTCACCACTTCCCTCACTCTCTTCCAGTTTTTCCCACCCACATCTCCCCACCAAGGGTGAATAAATGCAGTGACACTCAGTAGACACTATGTTGGACAGGTCCTCTTTCTTACAAAAAATTTTCTTCCATCACCTTTCAAGTTTTATTTCAAATGCAATTCTTTCTGAAAGTAACTGAATATTTATCTTAGTGTCAGTTTTCCACATCTTTAATTCCCACATTAGAAAATTTCCCCCTCCCTCTTATTGTTTTATAATTGCTTTTCCATAGCCTTTTGCAGGCTATAAGCCAGTCTGTTGTATTTATCATTGATCATCATCAGGACTATATTTACTAGTTAATAAAAAATGAAGCCGGGCACCAGTGGCACATGCCAATAATCCTAGCTATGCAGAAGGCTGAGATCTGAAGATCGCGGTTCAAAGCCAGCTCAGGCAGGAAAGACCCTGAGACTCTTATATCCAACAACCACCAAAAAACCCAAAGTGGTGCTGTGGCTTAAGCGGTAGAGTGCTCACCTTGAGCTGAAGAGTGCAGGGACAACGACCAAGCTCAGAGTTCAAGTCCCATGACCGACTATATATATATATATACATATATATGTATATGTATAATATATATATATAGCTTCATATAGATGAATAGCTGAAATCCATAAATAAAACATTCATTGAATTCAAACAGAAATATCCATAAAGTCTATAATCTATAGTTATAGCATTGACTCAGTTTTGAGTCCCTACAAGTTTGTTTCTCAAATTTTTATACTTACTTTTGTACTTTTTGCATATCTCAAATTTTTCCCCCAATCAGATCACTTCAATTTGCCATTTGCGTGTGTTTCCATGTGAGAAAAAGGAATCTTTTTTGTCAAATTAAAATGTCTCCATCTTAAATAAGAATGGCCAATAGACACATGAAGAAATGCTAAACTCCTCTAGCCATAAAAGAAATGCAAATCAAAACAACATTGAGATACCACCTCACCCCAGTTAGAATGGCTATAATCAAGAACTCTAATAACAACAGATGCTGGAGGGGATGTGGACAGAAGGGAACCCTACTGCATTGTTGGTGGAGTGTAAATTTGTTCAATCACTCTGGAGGTTCCTGAAAAGACTCCAGAGAGAGCTCCCCTATGACCCAGCAATCCCACTTTTGGACATTTACCCAAATGATCACAAACAAGGCCATACTAAAGCTAACAGCACAACTATGTTTATTGCAGCATTATTTACCATAGCTAAGACATGGACCCAACCCAGGTGCCCCTCAGTAGATGAATGGATCAAGAAAATGTGGTATATATACACAATGGAATTCTATGCTTTCATCAGAAGGAATGACATTGCCCCATTTGTTAGGAAATGGAAAGACTTGGAAAAAAATTATATTAAGTGAAGTAAGCCAGGCCCAAAGAAACATAGGTCCCATGGTTTCCCTTATTTGCAATAACTAGTATATGTCTGAGACAAGCAGAAATGGTCAGATAAGTTGATGTTAGGTGAAATGAACCCCAAGAGAAGGACTGAAATGTTTTTTCTTTCTTGCTATTGTTTCTAACATATTTATAAGATGATTTCTTTTTGCTTTGTATGTCCCTCCCCCACTACATAATCCCTGTTTTTACTGTATTTGATGTTGGTATACTTTGTGGAGAGGAAGGGAAAAAACAAATTGTTTAAATAGAAATACAGGTGGACCTATTGAAACAATGAGATGTACAAGACATTATGTTGAAAAACGAACTTTACAACTTTGGCGCGGGGCGGGGGGGAGGGGTACAGGGGAAGGAAGGGTACGATGGGAAGGGATGGGAAGGGGAAATAAAGGAGGAGGCAACAATGCTTGATAAGAAATGTACTCATTATCTTGACCATGTAATTGTAACCCTTCTGTATGGTATTTTAACCAAAAAAAAATGGAGGATATGGCTCAATGGTAAGAGTACTAGACTAGTATGAACATGATTCTAATCCTAAGCATCAATCCCTGAGTTTTAACCCTAGTACTGCCCTCCCACCAAAAAAAAGTGAAATTGATCTCAGAGACAGAAAGGACAATGGTTATTAGCCATCTCCATTATCCAGAGGGTGGAGGATAGAGGAAGACAGAGTGGGGGAAAGATTTACCAAGGGCACTAAGTTGCAGTGAGATAGGAATAAGAAGTTATGGCATTTCATTACTACAGAGTATACTTAACTACAAATAACAAGAATGTATACTTCCAAACGTAGAAGAAATAATTTTTAAAGGTTTTAACCATAAAGAATAAATGTTTGAAGCAGATATACTGAGCTGATTTAAACATTACACATAATATATAGAGAGAGAGAAAGAGAGAAACATCATGTTCATCTGTCAATGTATACAATTTTTATGTTTAAAAAAAACTCCTTGGTTTTTTTGGAGAGAGGGTGCTTTTTGGGAGGGAGCCTGTCATGGGGTTTGAACTCAGGGCCTAGAGCTTGTTCAGCTACCTTGTTGTACTGGTAGTGCTCTACCATTTTAGCCAATCTTAATATACTAGATTTTGGCAAGTTATTTGGAGATAGAGTCTCACTGACTTTTCTGTCTGGGCGGTTTTTGAATGGTAATCCTCTAGGTCTTAACCTCCAGAGTGGCTAGCAGTACATTTATAAACCACCAGGGCCTGGCTAAAACTAATTTTTAGAAGATCCACAGGAAAATGAAAATTTAATTTGAAAATGGAACACTAGATAAACTGAATGGATGGGAGGGGTGGGAGAGATGGGGGAGAATGGTGAAAGGGTGACATTAGTCAAGATGCATTATACTCACAAACTGACGTGTTGAACTGAAACTCATTTGTACAACTACTTAAGATTAAATAATAAAATTAATTCAATATATAATATGTAATTAAATTTTATTAAATTTATTTTCACGGGAACTAACAAAAGAAGTTCCTAAGCTTGCTGAGTCTGCAGGACAAGAGAAAAGCAGGAATGACACATGTATTTCTTTAGCAAAGACAATGTGATTTTGGAAAAACAAAGGAGAGAGAAAATATGTGACACCTATCTATCGTCTATCTGGATCTGAATGATCTTCTTATCTTCGTAGCCTTGAAACTCTTCCCAGCAGAGTTTGTGGAAGGTGCAACCTTGCACCTTCTTTTCAGAATTTTCTGCTTTACATCAGATAGAAGCATGGATAAAATTCTTCTGCATCCTCCATGTGTTTCAGGATTTTCTTTGGTGGCTTTTAGTGTAGAGTTCTAATTCTATTCCCTTGTGATCTGAGAGAATGCAGAGCATAACGTCAATGTTTCTGAATTTGGACTAATTTGCTTTGTGACCTAAAATGTGGTCTATTTTGGAGAATGTTCCATGTACTGCTGAGAAGAATGTGTATTCTGATGCTGCTGAGTGAAATATTTGGTAGATGTTTGTTAAGTCTAATTGATCATGTTGAAAAAGAAATTTACAACTTCAGGGGGAGGGAGGAAGTGGGGAGTTGGGGAGGTGAGGAGGGAAGGGATGGTAGGGGAAAAACAAAGGAGGAGGTAACAATGCTCCATAGGAAATGTATTCATTACTACCTTACTCATGTAACTGTAACCCCTCTGTACAGCATTTTTACAGTAAAAAATATATACAATAAAATTTATTCTGCATCCATTGATTCTCAAATGTTGTTAGCACCAAATAAACAGTATACCAACTCTGGAGGTTCCAAGTAGATCTTCATACATTCAAATGGAAGACAATATTCTGTTGAATTATAAGCAAATTAAATGTAGTCAAAACACTAAAATTAATAGAGAGACAAGAAAAGTAGGTTTGGAGTATGTGGCTCAATGGTAAAGAGCTTGCTTAATATGATCAAGGCCTGGAGTTCAATTTCCCAGTACTGCAAAATAAAATTATGTTTTTACAATTAAGCTAAAGTTACAAATAGAATAGATTATAATATTCAATGCATATCCTATAAACCAGAAAAACTGAGGGGAAAAGTAAGATTAGAAGGGATGAGAGAAAATGATGAAAGGGTTGATATTGATCAAGATGTGTTGTACTTATAAATGACATGTTGAATGGTAACCCCTTTGTACAATTACTTTGAGACAATAAATACTTAATAATAGGAGAGAAAAATAGCCCAAACAACATTAACATATAACTTTTAGAAAAAAGTCAAATAGAGTCAGGTGCTGGTCACTTATGCCTGTAATCCTAACTATTCAGGAGGCTGAGATCTGAGGATTATGGTTCAAAACCAGCAGGAAAAGGAAAGTCCAACTAACCACGAAAAATCTGGAAGTAAAGCTGTGACTCAACTAGTAGAGCACTAGCCTTGAGCAAAAAAGTATGGGGAAAGTGTGCACAGGTCCTGAGTTGAAGTTCTAGGACCCACACAAAGACACACACACACACACACACAAACACACACACACACACACATTTCACTAGAAGTGAAAATTATAAATAGATGTACCATTGACCAATTTCTTAGGATTTTAATACCAAATATGGTTCATATTCCTTCAGAAGAAGTATTCAATTGCAAGTTAAATTAACCAGTATATTGTAAACAAAATTACAAGCACATGTTTCTTTTTTTAAGTTTAATTTTACTAATCTTGGAACAGAATGCTCCATTTTATTCTGAACATTGATAGAAAACTGTACCTGACACATTTCATTTTCTTTCTATGACATATTTTTAGTTCCTCCTCTCAGAAAGTACAGTGTAAAAAAAGCCACTAATGCTTGAATAATTATAACAAGTTAACAAGGAAAATTTTTCCAGTACAAAGACAAAATTGTAAATGAAGATCAGGTAAGTTCATTAGTCTTATATTTTAAAAGTTGATTAGATAGAACTATACCTCAAAAGAAAAGAGATCCTTGAATGTGGAAATACTGATTCTTGATATTTGGCGAGGAGGATTAGGACTCAATATTGTAGGATGTACAACTGCTTGACCTTGTTGTCCTAGGAAATTTGTGACTATCTATATCCTCAAGCCATACAGTACAAACATGCAGAATCCTCTCTGTCATTAAGTCAGTGTAGAAGACTTCACTCTGACCATGAAGATGCCCCACAGGGTTTCCCAAGCCAATAAAATTCTATTATTTCTAAACTATGGTCAGGAATGAGTGCTTTTCAACTGCTGAGGATGTGATTACTCACAAAACCTGCTTTTCCGTCTCCTCTTCATTTCTTGAGGATGATGAGGAAGTTGAAGATTTTATTTTGGAAGCACAAATTCATAGTCATGGTCAGGGGTCAAGGAAGAGGGACAAATAACCGAAGTCCTCAGTAAGGCATATTCTGTTTCGGACTCTGCTCTGGTGGGTCTCACTGTCCTGGTGCCAGAGTCAATATTCTCATATCCATTATCATTGGAATTCAGGGAGGACCTTCGAAGGAGCCCATGATTAATGGTGGTGTAGCACACTTCTTCACAACCACTGCTGTTCTCATTGTCCTGCTAAGCATAAGGAGAAAAGAAGTTTAGGAGCTGACATCACCCCTCACATTTGAGCTCTGTGTCCTGCCCCTTCCTTCTCCTTGCCCTTACACATCTGACAGCTTCTAAACCTTGGACATATTTTAGAATATCCATGCTCCAAGCTACTCTCTTAGCAAACTCATTTCAGTGGTATATGTGGTGCCCCAAACTAATTCTTATTCCACTTTCATCTCACCCTGGATAATGCAAAAGGAAAGAAACATTTTTCTTTAATAATCACAATAATACACATCTTTCTTTAATACTAAGATATTATTGTTGCTATGAGTCTCAGCCAAAAAGAAGCCATATGCTTTACATTGCATATCTTGAAATCCAAAAGGCAATTTATCAAGTCAGATAGAAAATTTTTATAAAAGAAAATAATTGTCATAAAATTTAGAGCTTACACACATTTGAAAGCACAGGGATTTGAACTCAGGACTACATGCTTGCTAGGCAAGAGTTTTCCCACTTGAGCCAGGCCTCAATCTCTACACATACTTGCATAGATAATGAAAGAAATGAAATGTTAATCATTAATATATACTAACTCAACATCTTTATGATATAGTTTTATAAGGAAAATTTTCTCATGCTGTCGATTTCTATCATATTTATGAGCATAAATTCTAATTCTTTGGTATAAGGATTGACAAAGAATATGAGAAAAATTAAGTTAATTTTTTTGGTGGTCAGAAATTTTTTATATATTTCCATCACAATAGCTTTAAAGTTTTAAATAATACATGTCAAATAATTTTAAATTATCAAATATTAAATATTTTATTTAATGTTTTATTAAATATTTTATTGCATATTTTATTAAATTTATTTAAAATATTTTATTAAATATTTTTAAATAACACATATAGGCACCAGTTCCTCACATATGTAATCCTAGCTACCTATTCTGGAGGCTGAAAGAAAACCCAGGCAGTAAAGGACATGAGACTCTTATCTGCAAAACAAAAAGCCAGAAGTGGAGTTGTGGCTCAAGTGATAGAATGCTAGCTTTGAGAAAGAAAGCTCAGGGCAATGCTCATGCCCTGAGCTCAAGCCCCCAGACTGGCACAAAAAAATAGATGCCAGAACTGGTAATATGTGGGCCTGGGCACTGTCCCTGAGCTCTTCAGCTCAAGGCAAATGTTCTACCACTTGAGCCACAGTGCCACTTCCTGTTTTCTGGTGGTTAATTGGAGATAGGAATCTCAAGGACTTTTGGGCCAGGGCTGGCTTTGAACCAAGATCCTCAGAGCTCAGCTCCTGAGTAGTTAGGATTACAGGAATGAGCCACTGGAACCCAGCTACTAAACCACTTGTAAGTTTTATTTCCTTCTTTCTTAACTGAAACAACCAAACAAATTATTTTAAATGTGGAAGATTTCTTCATTACAAAAGAGAACAGCACTATTCTTGAATGAAGTAATCTGTATTTTGACTTTTGTCAGAAAAATATAATGAAAGTTAATCTACTAAAAGTTAATTGAGCATTTGTTCTGTTAGTTTTTAATTACCTGGCTAGAAGTAGATGGAAATTCTTTACCTAGAGGATACAAAAAAACAAAAGGAAATAAATAGGAGAATTCCAAACATTCATGAATTGGTTGAAAAGATAGATAGGATAGAACATAGTGATAAGATTGCAGGGACCCATTATCTAAACACATGTGTTTTTCCCTCTTATACCAAGGCTTTATGTTCTCTGTGAAAATGATTCACACTAAGGCTGCTGAACAAAGTAGACTTTCGAGTTTGTAACAAAATGTTATCTAAACACATGCTATGACTGTGAAATATGACAAGAAAGATAATTAGATTTGTAAATTTTGTAAAACTTCGTACATTTTGAAAAATCATAACATGTTAGCTGCAAAAAAATACCAGAAAATAAAAAATGGGTGGTATAATGGCTGGAGTATCTTTTAAGTGGTTCAGAGCTTGTCCAGTAAATGCAAGTCACTAAGTTCACACCCCAGTACTGAAAAAAAAATGTTAAGGTCTTATCTTAAAGCACCCATATAAGTTAGAATCAGCAGGATTTGGGTTAATGACTGCGAGGTAAGATTTTTAAGTGTTGCTCAACATAAGTTGCACAAAATCATTACAGTATATTATTACATAATGCAAGGAATGATGCGATTGGTTGTGGGTGAAAGTGAGTGTTAAAATAGCTCCAATCTTGAAAATAATACGAAGAGGATGTCTGATAACTTCCTTAGCATGAAAAGTGTGAGGAAGCAATAACGTACTTTTCTTATCTTGGTCTTGAATTTCTCCTTCAGCTGTGGTCACTTCCTGCCTACAAGGAAAGAGATAATAACATGAGATATGCAGATTCACCAAAGCCTAGTGTGCACTTCAAAGAAGCCTTTGGTTGCCCTTCACTAATGATCATTGCAAAGTTTGCAATGTCAGGGTGAGATGTAATGACAACATTGCTTCATCCTTTCTGTAAAAACAAGGAAAATGATGAAAAGTAGAGAATAAAACTTAGGGTGAGGCTAAGGAACTGCTAGATCATGCATATTATCACATGTAAAACAGAATGGTATTTAGAACAATTCAAGGGAGAGGGATGAAAGCCAATTTATTTCTCTGATGTTCTTTAGTATTTATGTATACATTTATTTATTTGAGATAGGGTAACTACATAGTCCAGTCTGACCTCAAGTTTGTGATCCTCCTGCCTCAGCTTGCCCAGAGTTGAGATTACAGGTGTGAACCAGTAAACTGGTCTAACACAACACTTTTTATTTCTCTCAGTCTCCTAATCTAAGGGAATCTAAGAGGAGTCTAAGGAAATTGTGGAGCCAGCAATGGATAAAGAACAACTGGCAAAGGCCTGCTCTCCTTTAGAACTGTCAGGACCCAGAAGATACCTCTTCTCTTTAACCAGGCAAACACATTTATAAACATGGGTGCACATGCACACACACACACACACACAACACACAAAAAAATCTTCTTCCTTTCAAAGTACTAAGCACTAAGTTTCAAAGATGAGCTGGATTGCAACAAAACAAAAAAAGAGAAACAATAAATGAAGAGATATTTATTAATATATTGATTAATAATTAAAATTACTAATATTAATATGTTTTATTGTGAAATAATATATCTATTTAACATTATTAGATAATATTAATAGATGTAATTTCAATTCATTATTATTTTTAATCATTATTACTAACATAGTGACAATAAATGGAGAAGAGTGAGCTGGCTCAAATCAGGAAAATAGTCTATAGCCATAAGATTCTGAATGCACTCAATCTCATCTAAAGAAAGTAAACAATGGAATGGAATTTTGAAATCTCTCAGGAAATGAAAACAACAATAAAAAATTCAAAGGACAAGGTCAATTCTTCTCAAAAGAGAAAGGTCACACACTTGTAATTAAAATTAATGATGGCCATTCTCTGACCATAAAAGAAATGGGAATCAAAAAATATTGAGATTCCACCTCACCCAAGTTAGAATGATTATGACCAAGACTAACAATAACAGATGCTGGCAGGGATGTGGTCAAAAGTGAACTCTATTACATTGTTGGTGGGAATCTAAACTTGTTCAACTACTCTGGAAAGCAGTATGGAGATTCCTCAAAAAACTAAACATAGAATTTCCCTATGGACCAGCAATTTGATTCCTGGTCATTTATCCTACATACCAGAAACAATGCCAAACTAAAACTACTAGCACAACCATGTTCATTGCAGCATTATTTATCAGAACCAAGATATGGAATCAACCCAGGTGCCCCTCCGTGGATGAGTGGATCAAGAAAATGTGGTATATATACACAATGGAATTCTATGCTTCCATCAGAAAGAATGACATTTCTTCATTCATAAGGAGCTAGGCTTAGAAAAAAATATATTTAACAAAGTAAGCCAGACCTAAAGAAACATAGGCTGCATGGTTTTCCTCAGTAGTAATTAAGATGTGCTTATAAATGTACAAGTAACCCCAATGGATAATGAAAGACAAATAATTGCACTTGGACATGGTTAATCAAACAGCACTCTAAACATTCACACCGTAAGAACAAAAGGATATTCTTAGGAGAGGATCACAAGGGCTTAAGAGCTATGTGCATTTGATCATATAAAATGCTGCTTACTGCAATGAAATCTATGAAATGTAAATACAAGGTTTTTTATTTTACTTTTTGCAGTTCTTTTTTTGCCTATTTCCCCCTTTTGCATTCATATTTGATTTCTGTACCTTTTGTCTTACATGTAAGTTTAACTGATTCGGGGAAGGAAGAGGAAGCACGGAAATGGTGAGTAAAAGGGTAAACTAAGTCAACAGTGATATTCTCTAGACACTGTTGAACATGAACTACACAACTTTTAGAGAAAGGTGGTCAGGAGGGAAGAAGCAGGGAGAAAATGAGGGAAGAGGTGACACTGTTCAAAAAGAAATGTGAAGATACTATGTTGAAAAACAAACTTTACAATTTAGGCTGGGGGGGGTGGGAGGGAAGTGTAGTTGTGGAGGTGGGAAGGAAGGGATAGTGGGGGAAAAACAAAGAAGGTAACAATGCTTGATAGGAAATGTACTCATTACCTTGCTCGTGTAACTGTTACCTCTCTGAACAGTATTTTTACAATAAAAAAGTATTAAAAATGTACTCATCATCTAACCTGTAACTGTATCCCTCTCTAAATCACCTTTACAATAAACATAAGCAATTTTTAATGAACAACAAAATAAAATTAATGATGGAAAACTAGAAAGTAGAGTGGTTAGATAAAAGATAATGATGAACAGTAAGGCCCAATGCACACATTCTTTTTATTCCCAGAGATGAAATGAAACTAAAGTATTCAAAGATGAAGGGAGAGGAAAGTTTTGAAACAAAGACATAACTCTGAAAAGTAATTGCGCAGGAGAGAGAACACAACATGGAACACTATCATTAATGATAGCGTCCAACATTGGTGAAATTTCTCACTGCAATAAACACCTGTAGCTGTGGGGCATGGATGGTATGTTAATTTGTCAATGTGCTTAATTGTAGTAATCATTTTGTAACATATATCAAAGCATTCTTCTCAAGCTACAGTGTAGCTCAGTGTTAGACACTTGCCTCACTTGTACAAGGCCTGGGTTCCATTCCCAGCACTGGAAAAAACAAAGGCATAAATTTATTATTACCCAACACATCGGTCTCACACTTCTCACCCCTGGAAGTATGAGAAGATATATTTCTGTTGGTTAAGGCATCTAATCTGTGGTACTTTGCTGAGACATGAAAACTATACCAGGCAACACTAAACAGAAAACCTGTGTTCTGCCAGGGAGTGGCCAGTTATTTCCTGTCTGCTTTCGTCCCTGGTCTTATCATCTGCTCATGCTGCCATGAAAAAGACAAACTTTATTATATCATCTTTCTTTATTTCCAAAAAAAGAGCTGAATAGAGATACATGTATCTGACTACAACTGCCTGATAGTCACACAGTGAAATCTCCCCCATCAAGCTGCTGTTTAAAGCTCCTTGAGTTTCACTCAATAAATTTTTAGAAGACAAGAGCTTAAAAGCATTCAATATTTTTTCATTTCATTATTATCTTTCTGTAATGAAGTCTTGCTGGTGTTTGAAAAATAATGCTTCAGTTCCTCTAACAAGAGAGAATTAAACAACAATACTTAGTATAGATCTCACTTGAATTTTAATATTTATTTATTTATTTCCAATGCTAAGGATGAAGCTCCAAGTCTCATATATGTTAGACAATAGGCTGACCACTGAGCTACAGCCCAAGTTATTCTTCAGACATGATCAAATAGACACTTCACTTGAATTCTTAGTTTATCTCTACTAAATATCTAATTTACATGTCTAATTTGAACAACAATATAAAGAAGCAATTTGTGTCAGTAGAAGCTTGCTTCTTTCCTCTCTAAAGCTGAAAAAGACCATAGGACAAGCCACTGTCCCCAAGGGCTGATATATCTAGTCAACTTTTGTCCAGAGAAAGTCAACATAAAACATTAATAAAAAAACATTAATAAGATACCCAATGCCTGCAAACATCATTTCATGTCACCCACAAAGAAGACTGAGGCCCTTGGTCTCAGCCCCCACACCCCTTCACACCATATAGAAAAAGGCCAACTCAGAGGAAGAAACCAAGACCTTAAGATGAAAGATCAGGAAACAGGTTGAAAGCAAAGATACAAAAAGCCCATGATAAACAAATAGAGTAGGAATTTCTGTTGCTCTAATCTGGGCCACATATCAAGATCTAGATATCTGCTATTTTTACATTCTTTTTTAAAAATATTTTTCCATTGAATGCCCTGTAAGAATTGGGTAACAGATGCACACTAGAAAGTTGTACCATGCCTTGAAGAGCATGTGGTCACAGAGGGAGTATAAGAAGCTGAAATAACACTGAGTTGCAACTTGAAATTAAGGCCACAATATGTAACTAGGCTTCTGTGGCAGAAAACTATGTAGTAAAAATGTGAAGTCTTCCATTATCTAGTTTAGAAACTCCAAGAGGAGATAATGTCAAGCATGAACAACAGTATTTAAGAAAAAAATTACTGTGCAGCCAACACCCTAGATGTCTAAGCAATCCAAAACAATGGTGGCTTTAAAAAACATGGAAGTAAAGGCTGGAAAACAAGTGGATTGATTCATTTAGAGAATAAAGAATGAGATTTAAGAGTTGTAAAAGAACCAGTCCTGTAAAGTAGTAGATTTGGTGATGAGTTTTTACTTTATTCCAGAAGCAATGGAAAACAATAGAATGGTTATAAGCAAGGAAAAGATTGTTTATAATTAGACACATTTTCTGAAGATTATTTTGGCTACCCTATGGGGAATAGGTTGAAAGTGTGGCTGTAGCCAATAGTGAACAATCTTTAATACAGCTATATGTTTCTAGACATGCTTTAAATAATCAATGAGAAGCATAGGATATATACTGATGTCCTGTCTCTCTTGTTAAGATATAGTTACCATCCAGCCTGCTCCCAAGTCATAAAGGGAGTCCCACAAAGAACTCAGCATTGTGGCTCTAAAGCTCTCAGTGCTTAAAGGCCCAGACTGGAAGTAAATCTAAAAGAAAAAGGCTCAACTCTTACCGTTTTCTTCTCACACCTACATTTTCCTTCCTGATCTTCCCTTTATTCTTTCCCAGGCAACTACATGGAAACACAGAGGAAAAAGAATTTATGAGTCAGAATGTCGAACAGCACACACACTTCTCCAACTATCAAGAAGTAAAATTAAAAATCAACAGTAAATTTATTACTAAAATTATTCATGTCTACATCAAAGTAATACACCCAAGTAATCCTTTGCTTTAAAAAAGATCATGAAGGAGGGGCTGAGAAGGTGGCTCAGAGGTAGAGGGCTTGCCTTGCATACATGAGGCCCTGGGTTCAATTCCTCAACAACACATAAACAGAAAAGACTGAAAGTGGTGCTGAGGTTCAAGTGGTAGAGCACTAGCCTTGAGCTGAAGAGTTAGACAGTGCCCAGGCCCAGAGTTCAGGACCCACAACCAACAAAAACAAAACAAAACAAAATGTGAAGGAACTTTCTGAACACACAGTAAAATAATAATGAATGATATACAAGACTATTTGAAGGGCAAAGTTCAAAGGGAAGGCAACTGTTTTCTAAAATATGTTCACAGAAAATATAAATGATTAATAATAGCAAAGTAAACATTTATCTCAAGAAACTGGAAAAAAGAAAGGTCACAAGTTGTTGGTAGAAATAAATAAATAAACAAAAAGAAACAAAAAAGAAATAAAAAATATTAAAAGGAATGAAATCAGTGACTACAATTGGCAAGACCTATTTAAGAGAAAAGGGAAAATGAATCTTTCCCACCCACAAAAATATTAAATAAAAACAAATGCTACAAATATAATTCTCAACTATTGTAGCCAATATATATGAGTGTATATAAATACAAATAGGTATCTCAGAATAAAATTTAGCACACAAGTACATTAAATAAGTCAAAAAATTCTATTCCATGTGTTTACATGAATAATCTTTACATGTTTACATGTAGAATCAAGATTCAAGTGGCAATGCACTCTGTCTTTACAAGGTATTCTATAAAGGAGAAAAACAAAATGATGGCAATTCCACATAATGAATACAGTATAGTTTCATTCCAAATTAAATAAATGGAAGAAAAATGATCAAAAGCTCAATTTGATATGAAATTCATTCCCAATTCATGAAAGTTGATGTAACAATCCTCAATAAAATGAGTTATTAAATATAAAAATTCTATAAGAATAGTACACATCACAATAAAGTAAATTTTACCCTAAATATTATGGAATTCATCAACAAAAAATATTAACACATTTAACCTCAAAAATCTAGAATTACAAAGTTCTTCCAGAAGTTGAAAAAATAATTTGATGATATTGAGCCCCATTAATAATAAAATTCTCATTAACTTTGTTATGAGGTGAATTTTATTTATTTTGATCAAGGCAGTAGACCAAAAAATCCATCCAATATAGTAGAAAATTTCAGAGAACAATCAAGATCTGTTGCAAGAATTCTTAAGAATACTATTAATAAACATAATATTGATATATTTATAAAGACATATTAATTGTAAAAAATTCAAGAACTTAGAAAAATATTAATCTTTATTGATAATTACATTTTTGGCATTTACACAAATGTTTACAAACAAGACCACACTAAAGCTACCAGCATGACTATGTTTATTGCAGCACTATTTACAATAGCTAAGATAGGGAACCAACCCAGATGCCCCTCAGTAGATGAATGGATCAAGAAAATGTGGTATATATACACAATGGAATTCTATGCTTCCATCAGAAAGAATGGCATTGCCCCATTTGTTAGGAAATGGAAAGACTTGGAAAAAATTGTATTAAGTGAAGTAAGCCAGGCCCAAAGAAACATAGGTCCCATGATTTCCCTTATTTGCAATATCTAGTATATGTCTGAGTCAAGCAGAAAAAGTCAGATAAGGTGATGTTAGGGAAATGAACCCTAAGATATGTATTCAATTTTTTTTCTTTCATGCGATTGTTTCTAACACATTTATAAGATTACTTCTTTGTTGCTTTGTATGTCCCTCCCCCACAGTACAACCCCTGCTTTCACTGTATTTGATGTCGGTATAGTTTGTGGAGGGGAAGGGGAAAAACAAATCGTTTAAATAGGGATACAGGTGGAGCCATTGCAACAATGAGATGTACAAGTCGTTATGTGGAAAACGAACTTTACAACTTTGGCGTGGGGCGGGGGGAGCAGGGAGAATTGGGGGTGCCAGGGGAAGAAGGGAAAGGAAGGGAAAGAGGCTACAATGCTTGATAAGAAATGTACTCATTATCTTGCCCATGTAATTGTAACCCCTCTGTACAGTATTTTCACAATAAAAAAAATAAATAGTGTAGAAAACTCAGTAGAAATAACAAAGCATTAAAATAAGGAAAAGCTCATCAAGACTGACTTACAAAATTCAAAAACATTCTAACAAAGCCAGAGTAGATAATATAATTCATGGTCTTGTCATTCTTGTATATGGTACCTCAAAATCAACCTAATTAAGAATTAATGGACCCTTACAAGATTAAAGCTGTGTTAGAATGCATTAAAAACACTGGAACAAAGACAGTTATTTAACTGTCTTAATTGGAGCAGTGTATCAGTACAAGCATATTGTTTAGGGTTCAAATTAACATATCTATTTACTATTATCCCAGTGAAAATTCAAGTTTGCATTTGTGATAATAAAAATCCCATATTCAGTTTTACATGTTGTGGGAAGATAAACTCTTAAAGAGCTAAATCAGTTTTCAAGTGAAGAGAGGTGTACAGGACAGAGTTGACTAACAATGTCAAAATCCATTTCCCTTTAGCCTCCTTTATCCCTTTCCAATCAGAGGGACCAGAGAGCAGCATGCCCGTCTCAGACTCATTTCAAAAGGACAGGCGTGTGTGGCATTTCATATAGACAAATGAGTGTGTATGTGTGTAACATCAGACGAAAAGTTAGGTGCTGTGTAAATTCCCAGAGGCCTTTATTCTTCCTCTGATCACCAGCTGGAAATGAAGCTGTCAACATTCCTGTCCTATTATGCTTCATAGGCTGGATAGCACCAGGAAGTTCTCAAGGTGACAGCTCCCCAGAGTCAGTTCTTAAATCCAGAGCTCAGCCATTCCAGTGATTAGCAAGTACCAAGACAACTCTTCTTGCTGAAAGAAAGAATCTTCCACAGTTTGTATTTCCTGCAGTAAAGTAAGACTATCAGAGCATGCTAACATTTTAGCAAATCATGTAAGTTAAAACAGTGTGCTACTAGTAAGATAATACACTCTGAAGAAATTACAACGAAATGGAATACAAAGAAATGGAGAAAAAGAAAAACGTGAGAATACATAGAAATAAAGGTTGATGTAGAAATTAAAAAGAGACTATATTCAATGAAAAGAGATTAGGTTTTCTAACAGATGAAGTTGTAGAATGTGACTTACTTTTTGGAGGTAAATAAAAGAAGACAGACACAGGGGTGTGCATTATATGGGTCCATTTATAAGAAGGAAAATACAGCAATAGAAATCTTAACAATGTTTGGATGAGTGGGGGGTGCACTCCAATAATCCCAACACTTGGTAAGAAGAAGGAGGAAGGTCACAAGTCCCAAGCAAAGCAGTGCTATGCCACAAGACCCAACGTCAAGAGAGAAAAAAAGCAATGACAGCAGAATTTGGAGGACAGCTTGTGGTAAGACCCGTGAGGGAACTTGAAGAGTTATGTATTACAGTTCTGGTGCTGGTATGTGGGCATATACATTTGCAAAATTCAACTCATGTTGCAATTAGTATTTGATTCTTACATGTATATGAAAATCTTATTTCACTGTAGAAATCAACAAAAAGGTATTTAAATACTAAAAAAAATAAAAGAATACACCGAGATAAAACTTGATGAATTTCACTGTATAAATAACGACGGTTTGGCTATAGCCAACACTGCAATGGCTCTACAGAATACAAAAAAGGAATATAATATATATGAGCAAAGCACTGGGCTATAACTTAGCTGGTATTAGGACTTGAACTCAGGGCTTTGCATTCTCTCATTCAACTTGCTTACTCACTCTTGGCACTTTACCACCAGAGCCATGCCACTAGCCCAAATTTTTGATGGCTAATTAAATACAAAGTCTCACTTACTTGAATCCAGCAGGATTCATGTTGTGATCCTCCAGATTTCAGCTTCCTGAGGCGCTAAGATTACAAGCAGGAGCCATTGGTAGCTGGCCTACTAACTTGGATGCCAAACATTTAAGTTGTTTTATTTTGTTGTTTTGTTTTTGTTTTTTGGATTTTTTTTATGTTACTGTGGTTTGAACTCAAAGGCTTAAACTTGCTCAGTATGCTTATTCAGCTGATGCTTCTACCACTTGAGTCATGCCTCTAGCCCCTACTATTTAACAGTTAATAGAAACTTCAAAATTCAGAAACATGGAAATTGTAAGTGTAACGAAGGAGATGAAGACTAGAAAGCTCTCAGAAGTGGAGGAATTATCGGCTCAGTCACTTGGGAAAGGAATGAGCAGCATTCCAGCACACTGCTCCCTGATGAATATGTGCAACATGTCTGACCCCAGACAAAATCGGTGGGTAGCCCAGCACGGGATGAATACTGTGGGCTGAGATTCCTACATCTGCAGAAGTAACATCTGCAGCTCTAACAACAGATCTCAAAGATCTCTGGAGATCATAGTTTCAAACACAAAGAGCATGCATTGCACCTTTTCAAATATGTATACATTCTAAAGCTAGATACAAAACTCATTCAAATTAGTACTTACAGGGAGGCAAGAGAAACTCAGAACTTGGGGAAAATGAGGAAACAAAATTAATGAAAATGGACTTGCACAAGTGAAAGCTACCCCTAATAATTGAGGAATGTATTACATTCAACACTCAGATTTAAAAATAAGGGAAGAATCTCACATCTGAAACCCAAATTGAGACAACCTCTTTTTCAACCTCTCTCCATAGCTCTCAGTGGGAGTTTCTGGTTCTCTCTCTCTCCTCTACCCTGCCTCCTCTCTAATTTTTTCAAGGCAGTATTTCATAGGCTTGTCTCAAACGTGAAATCCTCCTGCTCCACCTACCAAGT